AGAAGATTGTTAGAGCCTTAGTTTAAGGTAATTAGGCTAAAACTTACTTAGCTTAGGCTTAAACTGAGAAGATTGTTAGAGCTTTAGTTTAAGGTAAATAGGTTGAGATTTGCTTAGCCTAAGCTTAAACTGAAAGGATTATTAGAAGCACATGTTTATTGTGTATTGGTGCGCTTAGCATGCGATTAAGTTTGATCCTACATCACTACTCGACTTAGTGTTCCTTTTTATTTATAGGAGACATGGTTCGCACTATTCACACCAGGGCTATCAGACGTGGACGCGGATATGGAACCCGTAGGACGCCTTACGGGCTAGGACCGAATAGAGGGTCGATTGGCAGTCACCGCCCCAGCACCGGACAGGTTCCCGATACCCGGTCCGGAAGCGATAGTCCGGCCCACACTGGTTTTAATTTAGCCACTATTTTGGCGTATCTATTAAGGAAAATGTTTTAGATTACGTAACGACTCTCTTGAAGGAGAATGAGGGTGTTACACTACTCACAGGTAATAAACTGGGCAATCCTCATAATCACACGCACTAAGGCTACAAAGTGCATCGGAAAGTAATGGTTTAATCGAATCATTAATTAAAGGTTTAATAAAACAAACCAATGCAACTTTAAGAAGTTTTGAAACCCCTCAACCAATTTGCTGTTGATATCAAGGGTAGACCTTTAAGAACTTTTCCAAATCATTTGGGTCAAAATGACAATAAGGGGATCATGATTAATATTATTAGACCTTATTGGGTTTAATAGGCCCATTTCTCCATAAGACAATAAGGGGATCATGATTAATATTANTGGGTTTAATAGGCCCATTTCTCCATAAGACAATAAGGGGATCATGATTAATATTATTAGACCTTATTGGGTTTAATAGGCCCATTTCTCCATAAAGAGTCTAATTGGGTCAAAATGACTAAATGGGTCATATTTAGGGGCTCTTTGGTAGGAGCTTAATGGGTTGTATAAAGAATATGGCTTATTTGAACAACCATATCCAGCTGTTCGATATGGGCTTATTCGGCCAACCATGGGCTGAATCGCTTAGCTAGGAAAATGATGTCTTTTGTACTCGGCCCCTTATTAAACCATGTGTTCCCCTTTTCCCCTTTCCTTCTTTTCCCCTTTCACTTCCATGCCTTTCTGATGGGGTAGCGACGAGGTTAGATGGGACGAATGAGGGAGCCGATATGATAGGGATGGATCGGTGTGAGGGAGGGCTCGTCGAAAGTAAGAGAGGAACTGATTTTAAAATTGTTGTGTGCGGTGTAGAGAGAGGTTGGTGTAAAAGTGAGAGAGGTTTTGTGAGTAGGAGTTAGGGGGACTTCGAACCAGGAGAATCGGGTGGATTTAGGGTGAGTGAGCATCGGCGAGGGATGGAGGTGAGAGGGTCGGTCCATGGGTATTGTTGTGTTTGTTTAGTGGCGGTCGACGAGTGGTAGTATTCGGGTCGAGTGGCCGAACGAAAGAGAGATAGCCGATGATAGAGGGAAGTCGGCGAGGGAGGGAGGTGAGAAGGTCAGTCTATGGGTATGTGTTATGTTGGGTTAGTGGCGGTCGATGAGTGGTGGTATTTGGGTCGAGGGGCCGAATGAGAGAAAGAACGAGAGGTCGGTGTAAATGTGAGAGAGGGTTTGTGAGTGGGAGTTGGGGGGACACCGAAAGAAGAATCGGGTGGATTTGGGGTGAGTGAGCGTCAGCGAGGGAGGGAGGTGAGAGGGTCGGTCCATGGGTATGTGTTGTGTTTAGTTAGTGGCGGTCGGCAAGTTGTAGTATTCGGGTCGAGTGGGTGAACGAGAGAGATAGTCGGCGATAGAAGGAAGTTGGCGAGGGATGGATGTGAGAGGGTCGGTTTGTGGGTTGTGTTGTGTTCGGTTTGTGGCGGTCGGCGAGTGGTTGTATTCAAGTCGAGGGGCTGAACAGGAGAGATAGTCGGCGATAGAGGGAGAGAGCTGAATGGGTGAGGTGTGAGGTGGCGAGAAACCGAGAGACCCAAAGAGAGAAAGGGATCAGAAACGAATTGGGTAGAATGGGTCTTAAGTGTCCTTAATGGGTCCATTTGGTCTTAATAGGTATAATGGGCCTATTTATTTTAATTGAGTCATCTGGGTCAAAACGACACTAAATGGATAAATAAATAACCTCACTAGACCGTAATGCATTTAATAGGCCTATTTCTCCATAAGGAGTCTAATTGGGTAAAAATGACACTAAATAAGTCATATTTAGTTTGATCAGTCCTTATTGGGTATAATGGGCTTATTTCTCTTATTTGAGTCTAATTGAGTTATAATGGTACTAAATGGGTCTTAATTAGTCTAATGAGACGTTAATCAGAGTAATTGAGGTAGAATGGGTCTTAATGGTCTTTAATGGATCCATTTGGTGTTAGCGGATATAATGGGCCTATTTCTCTGTAAGAAGTCCAATTGGGTCATAAAAACACTAACTAGGTCATAATTAGTCTCATTAGACGTTAATGAGTTTTTTAGGTCCCGTTAGGGTCTACAAAAGTTTTATAGAAACAGTTTGTAGAAGAAGGGGGGATAAAT